CCTTTCACGTATATTACAACTTTGTAAGTTAACTTTCCTTTCCAGAAATACCATAGATGAACGTCTACCCCAAGAGATGTGTCTTTGACTAAAATCTGCTTCGTTATTTTGATTTCAAGTGATAGCCTTCACCTGGAAGGAATTTATATTTGTATTATTTCAATTTTTCTTTCAATAAATATCACTGAGTTTTGGGTTTTAAGATAGCAAGTCGCAGAAATAACTCCTGCTGGACCCTTAGACTTGCAAGAATACTCTTATCATTGGCCGAAACATGCCCAATTTGTCCTTCTTGCTTTGTCAGACCATACCCATACTTTTGAATTTCTCAAAAGCTTTAAAAGGGTTAAAGCTATTTTTGGAAGTGTACATGGGTTGATTGGTGACTACCACAGAAGTAGCAAATGGAGTTATGTCCGATGAAAATCTCTGTTTCGACTGGTGCCATACGTTTCCGTGTTTTTCGAGTTTAACAACTAACTTGCCTTTGCATGTGTTTGTTCCACCGGTTGTGCAGGATACGCTCACCTTTTTGCAAACACATGTTATCCTCACTTTTTAATAGTAGTATATACATGTAAGTATGTATGAGTTGTATGTCATCTTAATTTATCACTTGTGTAATCCCTCTTTTTGGGGTGTACTACAAACATAAATCAAAGTTTCTTTTGAGCTAGCATGAATATCATAAAATACTTTGCTTATCATTCCCTCTACTGCTACCAAAGTCTCTAATTGTGGCTAATTGTTAAATATTCTTCACAAATACTGTAAATCATGAAACGTGTAACCAAATTAATGCGAGTTTAGACCGCTGGCTAGACTAACATCTAGTTTCTGAAATGAACATGTTTTACAAAAATAAAAACAATTGTTTAATAAATTATATAACTGCAGTAATCTAGTCTTGCCAAATATGATTGACTTGCATCGGCTGTATTGGATATATTCGTTTCAGGAACTGTATGACAGGCCTAAATGTGTCAAGAAAGTAATGCGATAAACTTTGCTTTTGACCTGTAAAAGCTAACTAGCAAACGAAAACACCAAGACTGTCGACTTACAATTCTATTATGTAGTTTTGGTGGCAGTTCGATCCTAAACTATCATTTGCTATGCTCAAAAACTTGACTTCAACTGTTGAACTAACTTCTATTCTATCAAAAGCAGGACAATTTATCCTCATCTTTCAGGAAATGACACATGAAAGACTTTGACATCTTGAGTTAATAACCGATTTCATATTGAATTCACTACAAAGGACAACTTTATGACGGGGGATCGGGGTCATATGAGCCTTGATGGCAAAGGTATCAACATATTTGAGTGAGTGAGCAAGGTTTTACGCCGCTTTTAGCAATATTCCAGCAATATCATAGCGGGGGACACCATTGTACATTGCTTCACACATTGTACCCATGTCGGGAATCGAACCCGGGTCTTCGGCGTGACGAGCGAACGCTTTAACCACTAGGCTACCCGACCGCCCGTCAACATATGTGAGAACAAAGAACCGTGTACCCAATATTTTTCAAATGTTGGAAAAAAGGAGAAAAACAGTACAGTCACGGTCTAGTGACCGTACCGTTTTCCTCTCGCTTAGTTGTCTGGCTTCCGTCACCATCCGGCAATGTCCGATGGTTGTCGTTGTCCATTAGAGAATTGGTGACCCGTAAAGTTGGCGTCTTCCCATCTGTCAGACATCCCACATGTTAGAGGCTTTTAGTAATGGTTGATTCATTACTAATACCATGCCTGTTACCTACGGGTTAAGTGGACTCAGCCCTTGCTTCACCCCTCTGTCAGCCAGTAAGGAGTAAGGAAAGAACACCACAAAGTGTTACTCGTATGTTTATTTACGGCACTAACAATTCAAATGACATGAGTCATATCAACAAAATCAAATCAATGTCAACACCAAAATACGCATATCAAGTATGCAATGTATTGATTGGATATATTTATCATATACATGTTTGCTACATTGAGGAAGCGTATTAGGGCCACGGTCTAAGAAAATGTATCATCTACGTAGATTGAAGTAACATCGACGTCGCGATCGATGAAACTTTAATCTACGTAGATGATGTAACACATGTTATATTTGGGATAACACTTTCTTGGTAAAGTACAGATTCTAGTACTTTTTTGAGTTGAGTTCCGTCCGGGATTCGAACCCACACTTGCCAGAGTGAGGCACCTAATCGCTAGCACACAAAGTCTGCGATCTAACCCACTCAGCCAGCGAGGCTTCCACAAAAATGAAAGTCCGACAACTGGTAGTCTAGATTTTGAGTACCCCTCTGACAAGTGTAAATTGGCACGACTCCCATGGCCGAAAGCTATAAATACACAATGCAATTTAGAAAGTGGTCAAATGTAACACATTTTATATTTGGGATAACACTTTCTTAGTAAAGTACAGATTCTAGGTGCCTCACTCTGGCAAGTGTGGGTTCGAATCCCGGACGGGACTCAACTAAAAAAAGTACTAGAATCTGTACTTTACTAAGAAAGTGTTATCCCAAATATAACATGTGTTACAATCAGACAACAGATAAAGCAATGAATATTTAATATCGTTCATCAGAATCCATTCCGTGTAAAATGCAAAACAGCAGTAAAATCTTCCAAATGGAGTGCTGAAAATCAGTGTAGATACCAGTTACTCGCGCAGGGGGCAATCACCCCGAATCCCTCCGGCAACACCCGCCTCCCACACAATTTGCACAAAAAAACAACCCCGACGAGCAAACAACCGACCAGACAATCCAGTGACAGACGTCCACCAACCTTGCAGAAACCAAAGGCGATATGTTTACTTTGAAGCACGACCACCAACCTTACAGAAACCAAAGGCGATATGTTTACTCTGAAGCAGGTCCACTAACCATGCAGAAACCAAAGGCGATATGTTTACTTTGAAGCACGTCCACCAACCTTACAGAAACCAAAGGCGATATGTTTACTCTGAAGCACGACCACCAACCTTGCAGAAACCAAAGGCGATATGTTTAAAATTTACTTTGAAGCACGACCACCAACCTTGCAGAAACCAAAGGCGATATGTTTACTCTGAAGCACGTCCACCAACCTTGCAGAAACCAAAGGCGATATGTTTACTCTGAAGCACGACCACCAACCTTGCAAAAACCAAAGGCGATATGTTTACTTTGAAGCACGTCCACCAACCTTGCAGAAACCAAAGGCGATATGTTTACTCTGAAGCACGACCACCAACCTTGCAGAAACCAAAGGCGATATGTTTAAATTTACTTTGAAGCAAGACTACCAACCTTACAGAAACCAAAGGCGATATGTTTACTCTGAAGCACGACCACCAACCTTGCAGAAACAAAAAGGCGATATGTTTACTCTGAAGCACGACCACCAACCTTGCAGAAACCAAAGGCGAAATGTTTAAAATTTACTTTGAAGCACGTCCACCAACCTTACAGAAACCAAAGGCGATACGTTTACTTTGAAGCACGTCCACCAACCTTACAGAAACCAAAGGCGATATGTTTACTCTGAAGCACGACCACCAACCTTGCAGAAACAAAAAGGCGATATGTTTACTTTGAAGCACGACTACCAACCTTGCAGAAACCAAAGGCGATATGTTTACTCTGAAGCACGACCACCAACCTTGCAGAAACAAAAAGGCGATATGTTTACTTTGAAGCACGACTACCAACCTTGCTGAAACCAAAGGCGATATGTTTACTCTGAAGCAGGTCCACCAACCTTGCAGAAACCAAAGGCGATATGTTTACTTTGAAGCACGTCCACCAACCTTGCAGAAACCAAAGGTGATATGTTTACTCTGAAGCACGACCACCAACCTTGCAGAAACCAAAGGCGAAATGTTTAAAATTTACTTTGAAGCACGTCCACCAACCTTACAGAAACCAAAGGCGATACGTTTACTTTGAAGCACGTCCACCAACCTTACAGAAACCAAAGGCGATATGTTTACTCTGAAGCACGACCACCAACCTTGCAGAAACCAAAACCGATATGTTTACTCTGAAGCACGTCCACCAACCTTGCAGAAACCAAAGGCGATATGTTTAAATTTTACTTTGAAGCACGACTACCAACCTTGCAGAAACCAAAGGCGATATGTTTACTCTGAAGCACGACCACCAACCTTGCAGAAACCAAAAGGCGATATGTTTAAAATTTACTTTGAAGCACGTCCACAAACCTTACAGAAACCAAAGGCGATATGTTTTCTCTGAAGCACGATCACCATCCTTGCAGAAACCAAAGGCGATATGTTTACTCTGAAGCACGACCACCAACCTTGCAGAAACCAAAAGGCGATATGTTGAAAATTTACTTTGAAGCACGTCCACCAACCTTGCAGAAACCAAAGGCGATATGTTTACTCTGAAGCACGTCCACCAACCTTGCAGAAACCAAAGGCGATATGTTTACTCTGAAGCACGTCCACCAACCTTACAGAAACCAAAGGCGATATGTTTACTCTGAAGCACGTCCACCAACCTTGCAGAAACCAAAAGGCGATATGTTGAAAATTTACTTTGAAGCACGTCCACCAACCTTACAGAAACCAAAGGCGATATGTTTACTCTGAAGCACGACCACCAACCTTGCAGAAACCAAAGGCGATATGTTTACTCTGAAGCACGTCCACCAACCTTGCAGAAACCAAAGGCGATATGTTTACTTTGAAGCACGTCCACCAACCTTACAGAAACCAAAGGCGATATGTTTACTCTGAAGCACGACTACCAACCTTACAGAAACCAAAGGCGATATGTTTACTCTGAAGCACGTCCACCAACCTTACAGAAACCAAAGGCGATATGTTTACTCTGAAGCACGACCACCAACCTTGCAGAAACCAAAGGCGATATGTTTACTCTGAAGCATGACCACCTCGCATGAGTACATATACCCATACGTGAATTCAGAATACATGCTGCAGATCATTCGGATGTACAATATGTACTGCACACAATAGATTTTACCTTTAATTCTTCTGCACTGTGCTTCAAGTCCACTGGGAAGTGATGAAAATCCTCAGGCTTTCCTCCAAGTCATGACTTACCCCAATACAGTTGTCAGTTATGTTTGTATTATCGCACGGATCATGTTTCCTGGACATTGAACAATATGTCTGTATGATGTTAAAAAACTCTAGTGACAATGGTCATGTAACATTGCGGATCGTGTTTTCAGCTGGGATATATACAAGGAATAAACGAGCCATAGCTATTCAACGTCACGTCCAGTGAACTGTTCTTAACCATTTGCACGCTTGCATTTGTCACGATTCATGAATGTTAGGAGTTCTGAAGTATGGTTGCTCTCGCTGCGCATATCACACTGACTCATACGACGCATTCACTCTTGGCTAGGAACAAAACGTCGCAGTATAGATCGTACTGCCATCTTTTGTTCCTTACCAAGAGTTAGTGAATGCGTCACATGAACCAATAGAGTCGGTTTGATGTGCTCTGGGACATCAGTGAGTGAGTGAGTGAGTGAGTATGGTTTTACGCCGCTTTTAGCAATATTCCAGCAATATCAATGCGGGGGGACACCAGAAATGTGCTTCGCACATTGAACCCATGTCGGGAATCGAACCCGGGTCATCGGCGTGACGAGCGAACGCTTCAACCACTAGGCTACCCGACCGCCCCTTACTAGAATATAACTTTGTGATGTACTGTAACGAAAGTTTAATACGGCGCTGCTTAAGAGATACAATCACATTTAGATATATCGGACGGAGTTCAAGCTTATTATGATAAGGAATCGATCCTACTGTGCCACAGTTCAATATATGCGATGCTACATCCACCTTGATATCACAATACGTCCCTAAGTTACAAGCGTGCAGGTTTCATATCACATTCGATCTATTAATTGAATAGTATCCACGAGTAAACGGCACCATGATGAACCCCTTGCGAACTCATCATCAGGGTGTCAACCATTCATTTTGAAACTCGGCACCCCATTGCTGGTAAGAGGTGTCTAAATTGGGAACCCAGAGGAAATCCGGGTTAAAACTGGTCCCAAGAATCTGTGTCTGGCGTGCGAGGTAACTGAGTGGATCGTGTGGTCAGGCTCGATGGCGTTCAACGACGGTGCAGGTCGTTGCGCAAAACATTAATCACAGGATTGTTTGGTCCAGCCGTCATGTAGCTGGAATATTGCTGTGTTATGTTAGACAACACGCACGCACGCATGTACGCACGCACGCACGCACGCACGCAAACATGTTCAAACTGGATCGCTGCAGTTTCAATATTTGTTTATGGTCTCTTTTTCAAAGGTTCCTGGTGGCTCAGAAGTGTAAAACTTTGGTTTTACCAAATTGGCAAACGTCTAATGATCTGCATTATCTCAGGCCGTCCTGACCTATCAAAAAGCTGTGATACAACTGAAATCCTGTTCTATACGTCGTTCAAACTAACTCACCTACCCTTTCGAATGTTCAGCGGAAAAATATATACATACAGAGATTTCAGATTCTACATGAAGTCGAATAAGAAGGATAACCTACCACTCACTGATTAGGTGTTTGATACTCAATAAATCATTTGGTAATGTTAGATGACGTAGTAACCAATTAACAGTTGAGGTAAAGAGTTGTGACTCTCGGTCGGAAAACCAAAGTTGACTTGTGTGATATCAGTTGTGATTCACTGACTCACATTTTTTCTGTTTCTTGGGCTGTTGGTGCGGTCCTTCCTTAACTCTTCTCCATGAACAGAACAAACAGCATGATAAAAAGCAAGCCAACAAAGTAAAGTTAGATCTTCTTTTGAGATTGTCGTGAGACATACACTTTGTATGTACATGTGTACATTCAGCCAACTTGATTCAGTGAATTATTTATACATTGCTTTAAATACGAAACCTTGAAACATGGATAGACCAACCAGGAATGATAGAAACTTGATATCACGTGTTACTGCAATTCCAGTAACATACATTACACAAATTTTAGTGAGTGAGTGAGTGAGTGAGTGAGTGAGTTGGGTTTAACGCCGCTTTAAACAGTATTCCAGTTATATCGCGGCGTGTCAGCTTAATGTGGGAGGAAAGCCCGAAGTGATGCAGGTCTCAGACGTTTACCACTTCGGTGAAACCCACGAGCACGGGTATGGTGCTGACAAACCTATTGTTCACGTTGACCAAATACACTGAAACATATGGTAAAAGTCAAGAAAGGGAATTCGATAGGACATATATTTTGTTACTGATCCGTTAAATTTGGAAATATCCTCCACATAAAAGTGTTTGCAAGCTTTCCTGCGGCATTGTATGTTGTAACCTTGATCAAACAACTTCTTAGCAAGAGTCGAATGGCACTCTTTGAAATCTTAATGGAAAGGGCATTTTCGATTGTACCTTAAGAGTTGTGAAAAGTAGGGATGGAGCTGCAGGAACAGTACTCGATAAAAACCAAGTTGAAGTCGTCCATCCTGTGGACGCATTACTACCCAACATCGTATGTTTAGATATAGTATTGTGATGTTAAACTGATTGACAACGTGTATGCTGTGGTGGAATAGGAAACAATCTCTTCGTTTTTTTATAACTGAAGAAATGATGAGAGCTACAATCTAAACATCTACTCGGATCAATAAATCATTAATTTATACGATGTATCTTGAGCAATATTGTATTTTAAAAATATTCATGCATTGTTAATTATGAAACAGTATTAATTTCAAAAGTCAAAACGGCATTATCTGTTTTATGAGCAGCTTTACAACTGAATTCTCCATTTCTCATTAAGAATAAAATCAATTGAAACAAGCATGAAACACTCATATCCCCCGCCAATATGACATGTCCGGTTGTGTGCAATGCATTAGCTCCTGTGAACAATGTTCACTGGACCTTTTTGTAATTTGCGTTAGTAAGTAAATAAGTAAGTGAATGCGACAACCGTGTCCATGACACTTTTTGGGGGAACATGCACACTAGCAAAGCAGAACTTGCCAACAAGCAAGAAAATGTATTCAATACTGCGAGATGACATTACATCACATATCTGGACACTGTTCTTGAAACTTGTTGAAACATACACAGCAATACCATGTGTAGTGTCTCCTCGATAGACTTGATATCCTGGCAGGTCTCTTTCACTTTAATCATTGAAGCACACCAACAAACTTATCCTTCTTCACATTTTCGAAATGAGCACTGAGGGATCAAATATTCAAGTGAGCCACCTTGAAATCTACAAGTTTTAGGCCTTTCCTTGATTTGACCCCACTGAGCATCGTGTACACTTGACCTGGCTGGGCTTTAAATTTACTTCCTTGTGTCAATGTCATGTTCCAAATCATCTGCTCATAGGTGCTAACCTTGAGACTTGTGGATTGAGAGGCCCCTTGCTAAAGTTCCTGGATACTGTTTTCTTTCAACCATGACAAAATAGTGTGCGGTTTTCAAGATCTGCTCCGGAAATGACCACTACCGCCATTTTCAGTCTGTTAAAGTCGTTGCCATGGAAACTCGAAAAATATTTTTTTCAGAAATCCCAAACTATCAAAAGGCACCAGTTATGTGCCAAATTTGATGAAGAAATATTGTACGGTTTTCAACATCTGCTCCGGAAATGACCCCTACCGTCATTTCCAGTTTAAGTTCAAGTCGTTGTCATGGAACCTTGAAAAATAACTTTTTCAAAAATCCCAAACTATCAAAAGGCACCAGTTTACCACCAGACCTATTAATGTACCATGTTTGGTGAAGAAATATTGTACGGTTTTCAAGATCTGCTCCGGAAACGAGCACAACCGCCATTTTCAATGTAAGTCAAAGTCGTTGCCAGGGAAACTCGAAAAATCATATTTTTCATAAATCCCAAGGTATCAAAAGGCACCAGTTCACCACTAGACCTTTCAATGTGCCAAATTTGGTGAAGAAATATTATATTGTACTGTTTTCAAGATCTGCTCCGGAAACGAGGACTTCCGCTTTTTCAGTCTACGTCAAAGTCGATGCCATGGAAACTTGAAAAATATTTTTTTTTAAAATCCCAAACTATCAAAAGGCACTAGTTCACCACTAGACCTATCTATGTGTCAAGTTTGGTTAAGATTTTGTGTTCTGCTCCGGAAACGAAATGTGACGGACGGACAGACGGAAGGATGGAAAGACGGACGGACGGCACCCATTCCTATATCCCCCTTCCACTTCGTGGCGGGGGATAATTAGCCGTCATTTTGTCAGAATGTAAAAGTAAGCTTGAGTATAAAAAAAGAGATCGAGACAAGTATTGAGAAAGTCAAGTGTTCACAGCTTATAAAGAGGTTTAAAAATGTGCACTGTGTGACTTATAGGAAATCAACGCCAGTGAGAACAGTATGTGTCTGACTATTATATACAAAAGGTCATGCGTTGCATGAATATCTAATATCTTGCATGAATTATCAAAATGTTGCATGGTCACACCTCTTGATTAAAGTTAAATATGTCAGCAATAGCCAATATTACTGCCGACAGTAAGCACTATTATCATCTTATGTATGTTAACAGTAATATTCAATAGCACATAACACGGCAGTTGATTGTACAAAAGAATTTTTTTATCGAAGCTTTAAGCAACAGGTGTGTGTACAGCGGGGGATATAATACCAATTTGTTGTCAGAATTAAACATAACAATGAAATTAATGAGTAATTGTTATGATAGCCACGTCAACAACACAGCAACACAGTACTCTCATTAAACACGAAATATCTTTATCTGCTTATGCAGACTGATCATTTACTGGTCATTGTTGATTTTTCATTTCACAACACGATTGTGGTAATCTGCCTTCACCAGCTGGCGATCTATAACTCATTTCTATCTTGTATTGTTACAGATGGTGTTATATTTTTATGTTTATCTACTAGTTCTAAATACAATCTGTAATAAATTACATCGATCGAGTTAAAATTAACCATCGGGAATCTGGAAAACTACAGGGATAATTGCTATCATTATCAAAAGAACAGTCTAATATACTGAAAATCAGTGTCTAACTGTAACGTGGCTAAGGCATTTTATAAGTTTTGGCAACTTTGGAGACATAAATTTCGAAACAATTTTGCGAGGGCACGAGGCCTAGCAAAGCGGGATC